CTCCTCCCCTTCCCCCAAGGCCGGGGATTGCGCAAGAGCCTTGCGAACTCGAAAGCAGGTGACGCCGCCGCTGACGGCTAGTATGTGTGTGGGGTGTCTGAAGAGATGGGGGCGGGAGAAGGGGAGCGAGAAGAGGGCAAGTTCCTGTTGGTGCCAGGAGGACCGTCACGTGATTCTCGCATTGAGGGCGGGGGTGGAGCCCTCTCTCTGGACACACACCTGCGCGCTCCGCGTCCTCAGGCGCTCCGGGCTTCTGGGAGTTAACCTCAGCCAGGGCGCCCCCAGCGATGCTGCCATTCATTCCCCCTACACTGCACTGGCGGCCCGGGTCTCCAGGGCCTGGGAGGGGTGCAGCGTGCATTAGGCGCCTTCAGCCCTACTGTAGGGGCCAGTATCTGGGAGGTCTGTCCTGATGCGTGCTGGGCGGGCTCAGTTATCAGAACCCCTTCTAGGAGAGAACGAGATACACAGAAACTCAGGAGACATAGCTACAGGAGCCAGGCGAGGACATAGAAATACAGAAAGGCAGAGATACTTAGAGACAGGTGTAGACAGAGACTATGACACACAGAAAAAGGTATGGGACACAGAGAGGAGATACAATCAGACACATAGAGATAGACTGACATAGAGAGAGACACTTAAAACCTCGATGAAAGCCAGGGTCAGTTTAAGACAAAATAGTTGGATACAAGAGCGCGCCAACAGCTGGGGGACTAGCCATTGGCTTGAGCTCTTCCCGCGCTCTGCGGGTTCGTGAAGTATCCAGCTCCTCAGCCACCTAGTTTCCTGTGTTCCCCCTTAGAGGGCCGGCCCGGTTCCCGCCTTCCAGCCCGGCACTCGCCCCAGTTCTGGGTCTCCACTGCAGGCCCTCCTCGCTCGCCTCTCCCAGCCTCGGTGCGGGACACTCCTCTTGCCTCCTGGGTGCAGGCCTCGCTCCTGTTCCCCTTGGTTTTGCCTTTCTCTGCCACAACCCGCCTCCGCTTCCTAGTACCGGCGCTCAGTTCCCGCGCTCGCCATTTCCCGCCACTCCCGCCACTGTGCGGGATCCTCCCTCTGCGGCCCCGCCCCTCCGGGAGAACTGGGCTCGCTCGGGCCCGGGTCTCCGCCTCTCCCTCCTGCCTGCGCAGCCCCGCCCCCGCCGCGCCCCTCCCTCCCCGCTCTGCCGCAGTCGGGCGCTCATCGTCATTCCGCTCTCGCCGCCGCCTCCACCCCCGCCCCCCGCGCACCGCCCCCGTCCGGTCCCCGCCGCCGCCGCCTGCCCAGCGGCCCGGGAGGCGGAGGCGCGGGGGAGGAGGCCGCGCTTGGCTTCGCAGCCCCGGATGCTGCATGACTTCATCCTTCCGCCGGCTCCCCCGCTGAGCTAGGGCAGGTCCGGCACCTAGCCCGCCACCTGCCACCCGCTACAGTCTAGCGCCCGCCCCGTGCCCACCATGTCGGAGATACTACCCTATAGCGAGGACAAGATGGGCCGTTTCGGCGCCGACTCGGAAGGCTCCGATCTCTCCTTCAGCTGCCGCCTGCAGGACACCAACTCATTCTTCGCGGGCAACCAGGCCAAACGACCCCCCAAGCTGGGCCAGATCGGCCGAGCCAAGCGAGGTACGGGACCGGGGCCCGGAGTCGCCGCCTGACCCAGAAACCCACCTCTGGGCGCCTCACGCCTGCGGTTCCCCTCCGAGCGCCCGCAGCTCCTGCCGCAGCCCAGCGCAGCCAGCAGCTCCTCCGGCCCCGGGCGTGTGTTGAGGGGGGGGGGTGTCCCCGCTACAGTGTTGTGTCCCGCTTCCCCTCTCCGGGAACGCAGTGCCCCGGATTCGACGCTTGCCACCTCTGTAACCAGAGCCTTGGGACCAGGGCGAGGGGGAGGGGCCGGTCGGGGCATTTGGGGCTGCCTGAAAGCGGGGACGCAGGGCGACAGGCCGGTTCTTCTGTATCAAACACTAAGTCAGGGAATGCTACAAAGAACCTTCGGGTGGGGAGAGGCGTCCAATTGGAGAGCGGGCAAGGAGGCTGGGGATTCGGTTGTCTTGGTTGTTTGCGTGGGGAGGGGGCTCTGTTAGTGCCGAGATCTAAGAGGGTTTCAAGCGACAAGAATCGGATAGAGAAAGGGTTGGACTAGCTGGAGATTCCGTTTCAGCGGAAGCGAAGAGGTGGGTTCTCTTGAAATGAGGGTTGAAGAGGGGGGATCCTATGAGTATAAGGTTTTTATTGAGCTGATGGCGGAGGGTTCAGGCGTCAGGGAGATTTGGACTGGGAGGTTGAATGGCGGGAGCCTTTGGAAGAGGGGTGTTCCATTCTAGGGAGGGGAGGAGGTCTGTGGGAGCGAGGCTTGGCAGCAGGTTGAGTCGGCAGGACAGTTGGAATGAGGAGAGCATTCCGTAGCACCGGGGCCCAAGGGGCGTCGCTGGGTCCACTGGCAGGAGCTGCGCGGGGTGCGAGGACGCAGGGCCCACTGTCGCCGCCGCCCCCCGAGGCCGCGCGGCTGACGCGCTTTCTCCCTGCGCAGTGGTGATCGAGGATGACCGGATAGACGACGTGCTGAAGGGGATGGGGGAGAAGCCACCGTCCGGAGTGTAGACGCGCCGGCTCGGGCGGCAGGCTCCGGGCCCAGCCCCGCAGCGGGCAGGAGCGCGGGCCGGTGATGCGGCTGCCGGCGACACCCGCTCC